ACGCTACTTCAGGTCCAGCTCTTACATCTTATTCTGCTGGCTCAAGAGCAGAATGTATTCCAAAACCATAAACACATTTGCAATGGTTTGTGAAATAACCTCATCTCTTTCTAGATTGTCCAATATATATAATCCCAAAGAAGAAACAGAAGTAACAATAATAATGCTAGATTTCTCCTGAATGTGCAGTAAAAAGCTTACATATTTATTAAATGGAGTATCAAGCACTCCAGCTGAACAGTGATCCTAAATGGCCCAGAGGATATTACTGTACACACACAAAATAAAAAATTATATTAACAAATCCATTAATTTAATCCAGGTGCATGCACACCGCCAATTAATCCTAGATCTTCAAGGCAATTTAAAGGATATCAGGATTGGAGCTATTCGAACCTCAGGGGGAATTCTATTCCAGAAGATAGATGCTGCCACAGAGAAGGCTGACTTCCTAGGCTCCCATTAGATTTTGTTACTTGAGAGATGGGGTATAGAGCAAGACCACTGTCAGATCTTATTGGAAAGACAGAAGAAAGATGGTCCTTCATATAACCAGCTTTACTGCCCTGAAGGATTTTATAGATGATAACCAGCATTGCTAGGCCGTGTGGCTTATGTAGTATAGTTTTTACATAGGGTGGACCATGTTATGCCCATAACTGCTCAGACTGCTCTGTTCGGGACTAGTTGTAGCTTCCAAGTAATCTACAAAGGGACCCATGTAGAAAGTATTTTAGTAGTCCATTTGCAAAGTGACTAAGCAGACAGGTCTTAAGAAGGCTTTCCTGACAATTGCTGCCACTTGCTCTTCAATGTCCCCAAACTGTGCACCAATACACTTGGGGAAGTGTCATCCTATTAGAAATGCATATAGAAAAATCTCCTACAATGGAAGAACCATGTACGCACAGCTATTCACTTTTGTCAGGGTTGATTTTAAGCCTATTCCTCCCAGTCCAAATCTTTACAGTTTCCAGCCATTGGAACAAGATCTTGTCAGCATCACTTGGTTGATCACAGCTTGGGGGTTGACCGAAGTAGTGATTGGCTGAAGTAACTCAAAGAGAACCCCAGCTTTGACTAAGCAGTGCTATACACATTTGGGAGTCATATGGGCTAGAATAATTAAAAGAAATATGGGCAACAATGCAAGGACAATAAAATAGACTGGGAATGCTTTTTATCTGGAATAGAGTGTGGTGTGGCCGAGGTAACTGCCTGTTTTTTTTCTCATCTGGGCTGCACATTAACATATGCAATTAACCTACAGAGGTTTGATTCAAAATCAAGGAAAACTATTCCACTCCAATCAAAAGGATTTGGGATTAATTTAGTGTAATTTTAATCGAAGTCTGGGAACTTGGGGGCCTTCAGATGTTGCTAAACTACAGTTCCCATCACTCCCATAAGTAAAATCAATAAAATAAAAGTTGTGTTAGCAACATCTGGAGGAGCACATGTTCCATGGCCCTGATTTAAGTGCATTTTTATGACCTTTCAAATTAATCCTTTTGTGCAAATGCAGAGATTAGCAACAGTATTAAATCTCCATTGTGTGACATTGGTGAGCTTTTGAAAAAATGCAGTGAGGAAGAAACAGTGAGTTGGATTCCAATTTTGTGGATTTATTGAAATTAAAGGCATCATTTGTAAACTTAAATAAGATGGGATGTTCCATATAGCCGTTATTCTATGGAGATGTTCCTGTACACAGTGCCAGCTACTTGGTTGGCTGTTCAGTGCATGCTATTCATGACTGCAGGTTGGCAGGAGCTGGGACAAGAATGCTATCATGCAGTGCTTGGGTCTTGAACAGCCCAGTGTCACAACCACTAGGCCACTGTGCCCCATATGTGTGTGTGTGTTTATACACACACACACACACACACACACAAAGACACACAATCTCTGTCCTTGAATACATGTATTTAGCTTAGCTCCTCGCTCATCTTGGGTAGTTCTCTATGTACCCAAGTTTGTCTATTAGATGAGATTATATTCTATATACCGTATTTTTCCATGTATAAGATGCTATTTTTTCATGCAAACACCCTGTTCAAAAATCAGGTGCATCTTATGCAAGTGCAGCGTCTTATACATGGAAAAATAATGGTAACCTCCGCAGCCTAGGGCATGCCTGTGTGGGTTGCCATGCCACCTGGTGCAGGTGCCAAGTCCCTGTGGGCTTGCCACTAACAGGAGCGGGGAAGGGGGCAAGATCGTCAGCCAGCCGAACTTCAGATTTGCTGGACAGCTCCGCCGAACAGCTGATCGGCGCGGAGAAACTTGCATGCCAGAGCATCTTATACAAGGGTGTGTCTTATAGACGGAAAAATACAGTATATGTGTGGTTATAACCAATCTAATAGGCAAATTTAGGAACACAGAGAACTATCCAAGGTGAGCTGGGAGTTGAGCTAAAAATTCAAGAGTCAATCTGGAGTGAGCCAAAGTACAAGAACAGGTAGAAAGTGAATTCTGTACTGGTGTATTTAGACATAAGCCCTATTGTGTTCACTGAGACTTGCTTAGTCGCCAATACATGCACACTGAATGGCAGAATCAGTATGTTTGAAAATGAAAAGGAGCTCAAAGAGACAAAAATGAATTTTTTTAATGCTAGCATCCCTGGCATTAAAAGTGAACATGAGTAGAAAGAATCGGAGAATGAAACAAGTTTATCCTGTCATAATTTGAGAAGCAAAACCTAAGGGCAATTACAGAAGAGCTTCTGGTACTGAGAAAGGAACATAAATGGAAATTAGAGTGCAGTGCCTTGAACTTTCTGCTATTTGTGGCATGTTTTCTTCATTCATCCCCATTTTCCTAAATGTTCCTAGATTCCTAACATAGACAAAGGACAAAGGATAACAAGATTTTAATGATGCTATATTTTTAATCTCAGGAGTCACTTTTAATATGCTGTCTTTATTTAAACCCGTTCTATTTTTGAAAAGTATAAAGGTCTGCTGCATTGCAATACTGCTTTGTTTTTATATATCCCTATCTTAAGATGAATTGATTTATTTTTCTGCATACACAAAACGCAGAGGCTATTTTTTTACTATCTTGAAAGAAAAATAAAGCCGATGCATAAAAGGTTATTCAAGCACAGAGAAAAATTGTTGTTCTCCTCTCTACTTTTAATTTCCATCCCCCCCCCAGTTTGATTTGCATCCCATTGATTCCAAATACATTGATTTTAGTTATTTTTAAGCTTCTATTTATGCCAACTACTCTCAGAGTATAAAATGTAATAGTTAAAACATCCATGTTGCAATTAAAACAAATGTGTCATCATAAAACCCAAAGAGAGAAAAACCATCATCAAGAACAAAAATAAGTACGTAAAATAAAGTAAAAGATGGTGAAATTAAGGGAACCAGTGTAAACAACGCAAGATATCTGCTTGTGGTCCCAGTGCCAGGAGCCAATCAGTACATAGGCCTCTACCTTTGCGACCAGTTGCAGTTTCTGTGTCTCTTTCATGTGTGAGGACTTCAGAAGCAAGGAAAGGCTTGCCCCATGTAAAGTGCATTGCTGTAATCCACCCAGAGGATAGGGAGGGTGACAGTTATGCAGCTAGATTTTCCTGCACTATGTGAGTATCCAAAGCTAGGCAAAGTATCCTCTAGCCATGGCCTCCCTTTGTTGTTCCAGAAAGAGCAATGAGTCCAGAAAGATTCTCTAAATTGGAAACTAGTTCCTTCATGGGTAATGCCTATCTAGCCAGATAACCCAGTACAAACAGTTATTCCACTTTACTTGGGTATATCTTCAGTGTGTTTTCTCCATCTGGGCTCTTATAATTTTTAGTCATTAGGGCAGGAAATCAACGACATTTCCTTATTCTCCGGGGTGGCAATGTAAACTTCTTAACAACAACAAATAGGCTGTCACTGAGATTCTAGAGTAACATTCATCCCACATTGGTTAGCTGAGTGGTTGAACTTCCCCACAGCTTATCCACAATATATTTTATTATGTATCCACAGATTCTTATAGATTAAGTAAAGTCTACATTGTAAAAGTACTTGTTTTCCACACTGCCACAAACTAGAGATACTCAGATTGTAAAACATCCTCAATATAACAGTTATAAAAACAAGTAGATCAACACCACCCAAACAGAAACCTACAAACAATCAAAATAGAAAATGTAAATGGCACAATAAAATAAGGTAAAGACTTTCTAGAACAGCTACATCTTCAACAGCTTCCAAAATGTAAACTGTGAGTGTGGAAAAATTAACAGTATTTCTCTCTTTGGTCAGGGTGGTATTGGCTGAAGTAGGCAGTCTGGCAGATAAGTAGGTGCTAAACCATGAAGAATTTATAGTAAAGTCAGCTCTTTAAATTTTACCAGGAAAACAATTGGCAAAACACAAAACTCATGTCATTGCGTTTGACCATGCTACATTTTAGACCAACTGTAATTTGCAAGTAATTTTTAAGGGCAGTCCGTAGAGTATATTACAGAGGTCTAGCACCTGATAATAAGGGTATGAAGTTACAATAGCTAGGTCCCACTGTAACATCATGTAGGACTGCAATGGTTACTTCACTCTATGATGGAGATACAGCTCAGAGAACCAATATTCTCTGTTTTTAGCATTTGGGGATTGTCAGCCCTAAAGGCATTGAGACTTTGGAAGGCCGGAGATGTATGTGAAATTATATTTTAGTCTCATAGTTTCCAAGAAAATATGTTTCATCAGAAAAATACCCAATGCACAGGGTGATAAAAAGCCCTTTTTGTTGGTAAATCATTTTGGAAAACCTTGGATGATCCTTACGTGGTCTGCTAGGATGCCTTGTCCCCTTCTTCCAATTGATTTTGTTAGATGTTCTATATTCCATTTGCTCCTACCTACATTTAGAAATCTCTTCCAATTTTTGGTAAGTGTCACTGTAGACAAATGAGTCCCTTATTCTGCAGCAACCTTTCAGTTTTCTTTTATAGCCTTCAGACAGAGGCAAAATAATAAATGGGCACTTACCAATTCCTGTTTTTCTCCACATCTTAGAAAGAGTTATATAAACCACAGGAAAGAAGAGTGGGAAATATTATAGGTGTGTGTGGCTCCCCTATTGCCTTCCTTAGGTACATATCAGAGTTCTGAAATGAAGAAAGTTACATTGATTGGACAGCACCAATATGGTGAAATGCATAGACTTTCTACTCAAAATATTTAAATTATAGTCTCCATATCTTAGTGTATATAATTATGTGAGTATGTGTGTAATGATGGGTGTGTGAGAGGGTGGGGGAGACAGATTGCATATTTGGTCTCTCCATTTTTGTCCTTTTTTCTGTTTTAACCATATGATCTGGAACTCTGAGATACATAGAAGATGGATCTGATTTCATATAAAGCAGCTTTTTTATGTTGAATAATCAGCTATAAATAACATAATTCCTTATAAATTTCAGGCAAATTTTCACATAAAGATCACCTAGGGTTCATTCTGCATTCTGAAATAACCAAAATCAACACCTCTTTAGCTTTTTTCCATGACTCCTTTTTACACTAATCCTTGAAAAACACAGTCCCTGTTACTTGACCACAAGATGATTTTAATAACTTCTGATGCCAAGCTTCACATTTGAAATGCACGTAGATTACTACTGATTAAATACAAGGTGATAATCTCTTCTAATACCTTTCTCATAAAAGTGCCAGTCACGGTTTTAGTCTTGTTTAAACTCAGTGCTTTCCTATGTTGATCCCTAGAAATGGAAATGTCAGACACTTTCCGCCATTGGCAGCAACTGTAAACAGAACCTATTGTGATTTCTTTGCCTTGTCTGCTTTCTATATTTTTAATATTAGTCCTTTGGTTCTGGTTCTTAGAAAATGAATTTAGATCCAGCTGAACCAGAACTTCATTATTATTTATACTTCAGCAAACAGAATCTGATCACAATCACCAAAATAAAAAATATAAATGGATTTAGTTCACTTGTAACAGAACCCATGAAATCTTTGTTCATCCCTATATGTTCATATCTCTATATGGTCATATGATCCCTATACATGTTCATATGAGATATCACAACCTCTCCAGTGTTGAAAAGAATTCAGTCTTTTTTGATCATACAAATAGGTGAAATTATTCTTAGATTAAGTTTTCTCAACTCAACATTCTCAGGCCCAGCCTTTGCCCTAGGCTTTGTTTAATTATTTAACTTAAAAATAGCAACAAAGAAGAATCAAGTAAATTTAAAAGAAAATAGAGAAAAATTATACACAATATAAGTTTCAATAAAAATGTCAAAGTAACTTAAATTAGTGCTACATACTGAAGTATTTCAGATATAAGAAATATTTGATAGCAGTTGAAGATTTCAGAATATAATCAAATTAATATTCAATAATTAAAAATAGTAGCTAATGTAGTATCAATCATAAGTCAAAATAAATAATTAACAAAGTATTCTATCTGATAAAATAATTTTATCTGATTTAATGAATGGATATATTACTGGATATATTAAAGTCTCATGTTAAGAGTAACCCAAACTTTGGATGTGGTAGAAGCCTATGTCCAAAACCGTGAAGGATAAATGGCTTCCGTAAGGAATTAAATTCTGTATCAAATTTATTCTTTAAATATAAAGTTATTATAATCTGTTCACAATATGTGAAATCACAGCTACCAGTTCTTTATCTGATGTTGGCCTTCATACACATCAAGTTCTTCAGCTATTATAATGTATCAGCATATCAGGAGTTGCTCTCTATATAAGAAATAACTACATTTCCACAGAAATAGAGTACAACAATGATAAAAACTGTCTTGAATGCATTTGGGTCAATATAAAAGGGGGGGGGAAATGACATTGCCATAGGTGTATACTACAGACCACCCAACCAAACAGAGGAAATAGATGAACTTTTTGCCAGTCAGCTAACTAAGGTATGTAGGAAGCACATCACAATAGTAATGGGGGACTTTAACTACCCTGACATCAACTGGGAGACAAACTCCACACCAAGTGGAAGATCAAACAGGTTCCTGGCAAACCTAGCAGACAACTTTGTCTCCCAAAAAGTAGAGAAGGGAACTAGGGGATTAGCCATCTTGGATCTAATTCTCACTAACAGAGATGAAATGATAGACGGTGTTGAAGCCATAGGAACCCTGGGAGGAAGTGATCATGCAATATTAGAATTCAACATCATAGAAGCACAACCAATAGAACACAGTCAAACTAGAGTCTTGGACTTCAAGAGAGCTAATTTCAATAAACTTAGAGAGGGCTTGGGAAGGATTCCATGGATGAGAATCCTCAAGGGGAAAACAACTCAAGAAGCTTGTGAAATTTTGAAAAATGAGATAATAAAAGCACAGTCTAGCACAATACCAACAAAGAGGAAAAACAACAGCTCCCAAAAGAAACCAGCATGGCTGCATAAAGAAATCTCTGACAAATTGAAAGATAAAAAGGACAAGTATAGAAAGTGGAAAGAGGGGAACATAACTAAGTCAGAATATCAGCAAATAGCCCGAGCCTGCAAAGATGAAGTGAAGAAAGTCAAGGCTCAAAATGAACTAAGGCTTGCGACCAAAGTCAAAAATAACAAAAAAAGCTTCTTTCAACATGTAAAAAACATGAAAAAAGTGAAGGAAATGATTGGTCCATTAGTGGGTGGAAGTGGCAAGAAGGTGACAAACAACAGGGAGAAAGCAGAACTATTTAACTCGTGTTTTGCATCTGTCTTTACACAAAGGGAAAAAACAGACCAACCTATTAAAAATACTGCCATAAAAAACAAAACGGAAACACAAGTTAAGATAGGCAAGAAAATGGTTAGGGAGCACCTGTCCAGCCTAGATGAATTCAAATCGCCAGGACCAGATGGATTACACCCCAGAGTTCTCAAGGAACTGGCAGATGTAATATCGGAGCCACTGAACTATATTTTTCAAAGATCCTGGAACACAGGGGAACTACCAGAGGACTGGAAAAGAGCTGATGTAATTCCCATCCTCAAAAAAGGAAAAAAAATGGATCCAGGAAATTACAGACCTATCAGCCTGACCTCAATACCTGGGAAGATCCTTGGAAAAGATAATCAAACAACGAATCAACGAACACCTAGAGGCAAACAAAGTCATTACTAAAAGCCAACATGGGTTTGTCAAAAATAGATCATGCCAGACAAATCTTATTGCATTCTTTGACCAAGTGACAAAATTAGTGGATCAGAGGAATGCTGTGGACTTAATTTACTTGGACTTCAGTAAGGCATTTGATAAAGTAGATCACAACCTACTACTTGACAAGATAGAAAAATGTGGGGTAGACAGAACCACCACCAGATGGATCCGTAGCTGGCTGACCGGCCGTACTCAGCGAGTGGTCCTCAATGGAACTGCAACTATATGGAGGGAAGTGTGTAGTGGGGTGCCCCAGGGCTCTGTTCTGGGCCCAGTACTCTTCAACATCTTCATCAATGACTTGGATGAAGGGATAGATGGGGAACTCATCAAATTTGCAGACGACACCAAGCTGGCAGGAATAGCCAACACTCCAGAAGACAGGCTTCAGATACAGAAGGATCTGGACAGACTTGAACACTGGGCACTAACTAACAAAATGACATTCAATGGTGAAAAAAGCAAGGTTCTACATTTAGGCAAGAAAAACCAACTGCACAAGTACAGCATAGGTGGCACCATGCTCAATAGTAGTAACTGTGAGAGGGACCTCGGAGTCCTAGTAGACAATCACTTAAATATGAGCCAGCAGTGTGCTGCAGCTGCCAAAAAGGCCAACACAGTGCTAGGCTGCATTAACAGAGGGATAGAATCACGATCACGTGAAGTATTAATACCACTCTACAATGCCTTGGTAAGGCCACACTTGGAATACTGCATCCAGGTTTGGTCACCACAATGTAAAAAAGATGTTGAGACTCTAGAAAGAGTACAGAGAAGAGCAACAAAGATGATTAGGGGACTGGAGGCTAAAACATATAAGGAACGGTTGCGAGAATTGGGTATGTCTAGTTTAACGAAGAGAAGGACAAGGGGGGCCATGATAGCAGTATTCCAATATCTCAGGGGCTGCCATAAAGAAGAGGGAATTAAGCTATTTTCCAAAGCACCTGAAGGCAGGACAAGAAGCAACGGGTGGAAACTAATCAAGGAGAGAAGCAACCTAGAACTAAGGAGAAACTTCCTGACAGTGAGAACAATTAATCAGTGGAACAGCTTGCCTCCAGAAGCAGTAAATGCTCCAACACTGGAAGTTTTTTAGAAGAGACTGGACAGCCATTTGTCCGAAATGGTGTAGGGTTTCCTGCCCGAGCAGGGGGTTGGACTAGATGACCTCCAAGGTCCCTTCCAACTTTACTATTATTATTATTATTAGTAAATGTGCGTTTCTAGGCAGAGTGACCTTTTGTAATTGACTAATAGAAATATTGTTAATGTGGAGATTTTCTAAATGCTGTCCAAGGGTTTTATAGTATGGCACCCAGTGTACTAACAATCACTGGGACCATCATGTGGTTTAGGCCATAATCTTTCAACTTTAATTTTCAGATCTTGATATTTTGTGATTTTCTCCAATTAATCTTCTATTGTTCCTGGCATTGCCACATCAATTATCCACACATTCTTCTTCTCAACCAGTTAAATCTAGTGTGTCATGACCCAATATTTTATCAATTTGTATTCATAAATTCCATAATACTTAAACCTGCTCATTCTGACTAGTTTTTCAACTTTATATTCCCACCAATTTTTCATACTGGCACCTGATTACTTTTAGAGATATTCCAGTGAATCATTTTGGTGACAGTGTTATATCGTTGTTTATAATCATTTTGTGCAATATTCTTGCATGAGTTGAGTATATTATCTACTGCTTCTTCTTCTGCTTCTTTCCACAATTTTCACATGGAATTATTTTAATGATTTGTGGGGAAAATAGGAGTAGGATTATTATGTGTGTTCACTGCCTTGAGGTATTTATAAAAAAGTAATAAAGTCAAGATTAAAAAAACTCTAATGAATAAATAATATATTGTTATTTGAATTAGATTTAAAGGTCACCCAACTCCAAAGTAACTAAGGGTGGCTTACCTAAAAAACCCTATGACTCCA